AAATAAAAGGCACATAATTTGCTTTATCTAGGCAGAATAAGAGGTAAAACTGGTCCAGAAAAAAAAGGGTAGTTGAGCACATTAATGAAAGGAAATTGCAGATTTAATCTAATGCCTCATACTGAAGTTCCCACATCACAGAGAACATAATTGTTTTCACACATTTTGGAAGTTATTGTGCACACATGATCCTGSAATTAATTGGATGAGTCACCTGCGTCTCTAGAAACACAGACTTTGCATCACACTGGCAAAAAGGAAAAATAAAAGGAAAAGTCAAGGAAATCAATGGGGTGAAAATGCCTCCCTTAGCCAGCTCAGGCTGAGAATACATTTCCTCACACTATTCCTCCAATATTCCTGAGAGAATCTTTTCTTAATTTCTTCTCTTTGTCTTTTTCATTCTTTCCAAGATAAAAGCCTGGAAATACATTTCTAATTTTTTTTTCCAATCTATAATAAAACTAAAAAGATACTAGTTTTACAAAAGTCTTGAGACAATTATTTAAAAACATCATCAAATTTTGTGTAGTGGCAACAGATCACCTGTCAATCAGTCCGAAAAACAAACATTGAAAAAAGAACATTTTCTCCAAGATAAGAAATATCTATCTTATTAGCAAGAGGTATTTATTAGTTTTGATTTTTTAAAGAATTCTTTGTTTCATCTGCAATGCAACTATCAGAGAGACCTAACAAGAAATTCATTTTGCATCTATGATAACCTATACTATGCATAGACATGTAATTTTATTTATCTGGAATAACTGTAGATCATCTCCAGCCTTAAATAAATCATCATTTTAACTAGNAAAAAAAAAAAAAAAAAAAAAAAAAAAAAAAAAAAAAAAAAAAAAAAAAAAAAAAAAAAAAAAAAAAAAAAAAAAAAAAAAAAAAAAACCAAGCAAGAAAACACACTAGAAGAACATTTTTATTCAGCCAAGAAGATGTGCAGAAATATGGGTTATGGTGCAATATGATCAGTGTGTGGATATTGTTTAGGTAATAATTTTTCGTCAGAGGGAGTTTTTTTTTTTATTTTATTCAGTTACACAGGTACATCAATTTGTTCATTTTAGTAGTCATTGTGCAGCCCTGAGGTTAATCATCGCTAATGCTTTGCAGAATGTGCTGCAGKTAAGTGTTGTTATCAGCATAATTGGTTTGCTAAATATGAGGTAGAAGTGGATGGTCTCAGGATTGAAAGGCTCTTTTGTGCATGTTTTTTTATTTGTAACACTGAAAAACAGAGCTGAACTCAGAGGTCTGATCTGCGTCAGACAAGGACTGTGAGAGCACTTTGTTTACTGATCTCTGAAGGTCTTTGTGAGCAAAATGGGCTTAAAAAGAACTGAGGTTCTTTGGGTTTGAACCCTCTGTCAGTCAACATGAGGTGGGTTTGAGTGGTACTGAGCTGGCTTGGTATTTGTCATCAAAGCAGAGAAGATCAAGTGTCAAATTCTCATTTATAATTTAGATCTAACTATAATTAGAATTACATAATTTTGATATGGACTATAATTGAATGAGAGTCAATAGAAARTTTCCCTTACTTACTTCAGTTCTATTTCAATTTAATTACTGATTCTAGCATAACTTTGGTCTGAACTTGCAGCAGCCTGTGCTTTATGTTCTTGATGACAAACACAACTTATGMAACACAATAAATTATCATATTGCTCTGAAAACAAAAATAATTCTGTTTTCAGAAGTCTTATAAGGGATAACTCATTCTAGGGAATCTATAATCAATAATAACAGTACAGAAATCAACTCCTATGAAAATTCACATCTAACTGTCTACATTTTAATTAGATCCTACTATTGCCTGTTTCTTCCGTATGCTGGATTTTGAGGTGGTGTTTTTTTCCGTTTATAAAATAAGAACAGGTTGGTTTTTTTGTTTGTTTTTTTTTYYTTTTTTTTAATTAATAATATTTTTCCTTAATTTATTTTGAAATGTGAGAACCCTGAAGTAACAGTTCTCAGACCATTTATGTGCATCATTACTCTGCATTTGATGGGTGTAGGATGCACTGAGTTCATCTTCTTTTACCAGTTCCTGGGAAATTTACACCACGCTGAATAGCCCAAATAAAATGACGTTGGCTGTCCTCCTGGACGGTCTACCATCTTGGAGCAGAGAACTGAAGAGACAACCTTGACTAATACAATAAAATTTTTCATAAACACCAGTGCCAAAAGAATATCTACTGTTGGTCTCCTCCTCCTCATTCCACCCTGTGCACAAGTGGTACAGTAAGAGAGCAGGGGAGGGGTGGAAACAAAAGATGAAAATGCCCATGGGATCTCTAGAAGGGAACTACATCCAGGGTAAAAAGAAATCTAACATTTCTGTGGCTTGGTTCCTATGGAAAATTCATTCCAAACCTGAATTATTTAATATTTGAATGAATTGAGGAATGGAAAGGCTTTCATCCGAAAGAGACTTCCCACTCAGCAATTTAACCCCAGCTGCTGCTGTTTTTATCATGACTTAAAAGTAAAGAAGGAGGGAGAGGATGGGGAGGAAAAAAAAATGGTAGGATGTTATTTATCAATGCATCAAACCCCATATCATTGATTTGTCAAAATTTCAGGTGGAAATTGAACTAATATTTTTTTCTGTCTTTCATCCTTGTTCTACTCTGAACCATTTTCATAGTTAAACTCATAATTTCCTGGACACAGTGAATCTAGGTCACTAGGGGAAAGCAGAGCTTATCTTGTAGAATGGAAGTAGTCATTAAGGCCTTTTCATGTTTTTAATACAGAGTAAATTAATCCTGTTTATGTAACAGTCAGAATGAATTAGCAATCTGTGGAATGAAATCTATTTTGACTTATCTCTGTCTGAGTCCTATCAGTTTGTCCATCTCTCAGGATTCTACTGAAATATTTCAGGTCCATTACACACCAGAAGTTCATAGMCAGTAAATGTTGAACTGCCCACGACCTTTCTTGCAAACTCTTAATAATGCTCAGGTGCTGGGGTGATGTTATTTTTTTTCAACCAGAAGTTTGACTTTTGTGATAACAACAGAAAGTTTTCATTAATCCCAAAGAAATTMAAAAATACACATTTAATTCCATCTTTATTTCTTTGGACAACACAATTTTAGTTTTTAATTATGTGGTTCTCGACTTTGGAGATGAACCATACCTTGTGCAGTCCACAGATTTGGAGGCTTCGTTCTCATTAACAGCCAACATTTTCTGAACACAGTGATTTGAATTCATTGAATTTGTGATTTCAACTGTTATCTAACTGTACTTGGAAACTCAGAAATTTCATCAATGTACATGTAAAGTTTGGCTGCTAGGATTCAGTGATACTATGAATGTAGTATATTTTGTAATACTTCATGGTGAACAAGTTTTCAAAATTACATTTTTCTTGCAAACATGTTTTGGGGGAAAAAAGTTGCTGCCATCTTTTGGACACATTCTGAGGAAAAAAAAAAAAAAAAAAAAAAAAAAAAAAAAAAAAAAAAAGAAAGAAAGAAAAGGCATTTAAAGGGTTGGGGGGAGGGTGTCTGAAAGAAGTGGTATTTTACTGAAAGTTCCAGCTGGCACATCCTGAATACCTGCTTTTCTATGGAAAAGGCAATTTGAAATTACAGAAATTTACTCCAGGATTACCAATATYTTCTTCTTTCCCATTTTATATACTSATTATATAGTAACATCTGTGCAAGAATTGTTTGCTTGGTTAAGCAATACTGATGGGAAATAGCTTTCTCAGAAAGATGTGCCACTGAAGTTGAAGCCAAGCATAGCAAGAACACAAAGATTATGGATACAGAAAGAAAATTATATTCATTCCCAATATTTAATTTTTTGCACCTATACCTCATATTATTGTTTGGATCTGAATAAAACTTCTTTGATCTACACATTTATTACMGTTTAGTGTCATAGCTGTTTATCCTGAGAATTCGTTGGAATATAGCCTGGATGTATTATATCATATTATCCTGTTTTTTTGTAATTTTGTTTCTCTTTCTGTTTTCCTTTTGAATTTCCAGAAGATGTAATCAAATTCTTGTTATGCAGTCAGCTCAGCACAGTGACTTCTGAGACAAACTCTGCCTGTTCAGCAAAGTCTTTGTGAGAACAGAGAATGCTGGTTTCAATGAGAATAAATCAAAGCTGATAATATCTGGGAAAAAGAAAACACTGTCCAGAGAAAATAATGACTCCTCTGAAGAGATACCATTGTCAGACACTAGCATATCTTGCCAGCTATGGACAGTGATATTAAAATATGCTGCAAATCC